CCGGTTAAGTCCTTCAAACGGTCTGTATGGTTTAAAAGACTTATGTAGCTCATTTGGAGTGCGACAAGTGGCTAAGTGCACGCTATTGTTGTAAGCACTGGCTACCTTTCAAGTTGGGAGCATCTCATCCCAGCTAAGTTGGTCGGGCCTAATGTACATTCTCAGAACTTGCTGCAGGAATTTGTTCATCTTCTCAGTCTGACCGTTGGTCTCTCGATGACATCCAGATAACATTAACAACTTAGATCTGTAGACTTTCATTAATTCCTGCCAGTTCTAACTAGTGAACCGGGTATCCCTGTCACTGACTATAGACAACGGTAGCCCATGTTCACTGACCCAATGGTTGAAAAACTTTTGTATTACTAATTTTGTGCGTACCTCAGCAGGCAAAGGAATGAAAATTGCATACTTGCTAAACCTATCTACTACGACCATGACTTGGCTCTTGCCATGTCTACTCTTGACACCAGCATCCATGAAGTTTATAGACACTAAATCTCTGGGTCCTTCGGGGATAGGAGAGGGTCTAAGAAAACCGAGAGGGGCTTGCGTAGTAGTCTTATTCCTTTGACAGACTTTGCAACTGCGTACGTATTCTATGAAGTCAGCCTTCATACCAGGCCAGGTATACGCGCGCATGAGGTTGGCTAATGTCTTCTGCCAACCGAAATGCCCCTTTGTATCATAGCATTCCCCTAAGATCAAACTTCAGATCTCTTCGCTATTGGGAACGCATAGGCAGTCAACAACATTAGTCTTCTCAAACAACAAGTCGCCTGTAGTGCAGTAATCTGGTTCTGAGTCTGGTGCCTTCTTAACTCTCTTAAGGAGGTCGCTATAAATAGGGTCCTGTGCATACACTTCTTTAACTCTTTGTTGCAGGTCTCTCCCTATATCCAGATAGTGCACCATCGCTCCAAGGTAGTGTGATCTCCTACTCAGGGCGTCCGCAACTACATTGTATTTTCCCTTGACTGGCTTGAGCTCAAAGTCATACTGATCTATCTCTGCGGCCCACCTAGTTAGCTTTGGTGTTATCTTGGTCTGTGTTTTCAACAACCTTAGCGTCTTGTGGTATGAATACACTTTGAAGTGTCTCCCAAGCAAGTAGTGTTTCCAATGTTCTAACGTTTGCCTGAGAGCGTAGAGTTCCCTCTCGTGGGTGTATGTCACTACCTTTTCTAAAGGCATTCTAGCAGACATGAACTTTACGGGTATGTATCCCTTACCATCGTCTTGCTATAGAACAGCACATATGCCATATTGACTTGCATCAGTGGTGACGACGAATGGCAATGATGGATCGGCTACCTTAAGGACATAATACTCTATTAAGGTCTGCTTCTACTTCTTGAAGGCCGACGTACAATCTTTATCCCAGTTCCAGATTGTCTTTTTCTTCAACAACCTGCGGAGGGGAGGACGAACTTTGTATAGTAATTAGTCAATCCTAAGAATGACCACAACTCTGTCAGCGTGTGGGAAGTCGTCCAATCTCTAATCGTTGCTATCTTACTGTCCCCAGGCTTTATGCCATCTCCATCGAGGACGTGGCTCGGGTATAAATATGTTATGAAGAAAAATAAAATAAACAACATTGCTTGATCATTACATTCAAATTCGTTACCAAATTGGAAATAAAAATAAAAAACAGAAAATAGAAAAAAGTAAAAAGAGAATTGAAATTAGTGAGTGCGCGAGTAAGTTTGTGAAACCACCATCTTTGGCAATTTTTTATTGTTTTTTGGCAAAGCCAAACGCCCTAAAAATTTAGAGATGTGTACTTCACATTATAAAAAACTCATGAAAAAAATATAAAAAAATAATAATTTTTTTTAGGTGGCAAAATCAAGTCAAAAAAGAAAATAAGAAATTAAAAAATGAGTGGGCGAACACGATTTGACACTGCCATCTTTGGCGATTTTTCATTTTTTGTTTCCTTAGCAAAATGATTCCAAAATTAACAAGCATGTACCTCACATCATAAAGAACTCATAAAACAAAAAAATCAGAAAAAAAAAATATTTTTAGGCACCGAACAAAAAAAATTAAAAAAAATAAAAATAAAAAAATAATTGAACGCTGTTCAATTTTGAACGCGAATTTAAATCCGCGTTCAAACGCACATTTGAACGCGAACGCGCGTTCACGGCGTTCAAAAGGTTACATAGAAATCCTGTATCTTGGCCCACTCACACTTCTTCGCATTGATCTTGAAGTTGGCTTCTCTCAGCATCCCCAAGACCTGCCTTAGATGACCCTCATGCTCCTGGAGGGTCTTACTAAATACTAAGATGTCATCTAGTAGATAGACAAGTACAAATCTATCTAACCACGGTCTGAACAAGTCGTTCATATAGCGCTGAAACGTAGCTGGCGCGTTGGTTAGTCCAAAGGGCATCACTATAAACTCATAGCGCCCGTATTTGTTCCTGAACGCCGTCTTGTGCTGATCATCAGGATGAACCTCTAACTGATGATAACCTGACTTCAAATCTATTTTAGAGAAGTATTTGCAACCCTGCACCCGATCCAATAAATCATCTATTTGAGGCACTGGTTCTGCGTATTTTCCTATGATGGTGTTGAGACCCCTATAGTCTATACACATTCTCAACTCTCCCTCCTTTTTGGGGACAAACAGAGCAGGTGCTCCAAAGGGAGACGAACTGGGTCTAATCCAACCTTTCTCGAGAAGCTCGTCGAACTGCTTTCGCAGCTGCTCTAGCTCCCTTAGGGACATTCTATACAACACTCCTTTGGGAGTTCTACTGCCAGGCTCTATCTCAATTCGATGTTGGATCGGCCGCGACACAACCCTTATAGGCGACTCAGATATATCTGCATATTCCTCTAGTAGTTTGGCAATACGAAGGTCTATGGGCTTTTCGGACTTAGGCTCAGTGACTGGCCTAACATAGACAACGAAAATTTGTTCCTCCAACTGCTTCTTCTTCACTAATCTTGCGAATGCAAGAGCATTGAGGCAGCAATGTGCTAAGGGGTTATCTACCCCTGACACATGAAACAGGCGAGCAGTCTTAACTCCACCTGACGGGCTAGGGAGCCTACACTAGTGCTCTCTCAAGTGGAGTGTGGCCCCTGCTACCTCTCCTCAGTCCATTCATAGAACTACATCAAACGGGAGGTTGTCTTCTACGAGGAGAGTCAGGGAATGGAGAACTTTTTCTACCTTCCCATCTTTCTCTGGGCGGAAGTAAGTCTGGATTCCCTCGACATAATCCTCAACTCGCATCGTGCGATTGTCTGCGAGGATGCTGACTATAGGTTCCTCTAGCTTTCGGATCTTTAGATTCAACTTCAGCTTATGCAGCGCTTTGCGACTAATATAGCTACGGGTGGCCCCACTGTCTATAAGGGTTTCTACTCTGCTTCAAAAAATCTCTACGTCTACTAATATTAGCTGACATTTTTCATCCTTCTTCATCTTGGCCCAGACAACCATCCTCTCCTTCAATTCTTATGCCACGCCTGTGAGGGGAGTGCTTAGAGAGACCCTAACGCAAGCAATCTCTGGACAACTTTCTAGACACTGGTCAGCAACCTTTACCATAGACACATGTGGGTTGGGAGTTTCTCTATGGTGCGCGCACTCTTCTCCACATGGTCGAGGGGTAAGGGCAATTGCGACCCCTACCGGCGGTTACCTTTTGTTGCCTGTGCAGCAAACCGGGTCTCCCTGTACTTGGGGCAGTATTTAATAATATGGTCTGGATCACTGCAATAAATGCACTGATCCTGGTCTATCCTCCTCTGCCAAACTTCCTGATGGAGGCTCAAATCTTCTCAAGGCCTGCCCTATGGCAAGCCAGGGTGGCATCCACCCCTCCTGTAAGGTGACCGATTGGAACGCGGACGATTTTGTAGGGGACCCGGCCCCCTTGGCCCCGGCTTCCTCCTCTTCCTTGCGGCCTCCCTCCAGCCTCAACAGCAGCATAGGACCTCCCCTGACCTACACTCCTGTCTTCCTTCTCAAGGCCCCACTCAATCTCACTATACGGGACCTCCTCCATTCGTCCTTCATCCAATGTCAGGATCAGGCTGTCTTTCCCCTTAACCCGCCCTGAAATGGTCCGGTCCTTCCATTTCTTACCCTTGTCAAAATCTCTATGCCAAAAGGCATTGGCGTGGACTGGGCCTCATAGGCTACGACATTGCGACTCAACCTATCATACGTCATCCCTGATTCTCGCGACTTGTCATAGAAGTGCTCGTGCAAAATCTCGGGCATCGCACGATAGAACAACTGAACCAACTGTGGCTCAGTGACCCCATGGTTTGGAACCGCAACAAGCTCATCCATAGCTCCCTTGAGCATCCTTGCACTCTTCCACTGACGTGTGTGGATCGTCTAGAGCTTGTCTGAGGCCTTGATTCCCTTAGTTACGTCCGCGAAACGTTCGCGAAGTAACTTAAGGAATTCATTGAGGGGAGTGATGGTGGAATATGCCACCGTATCATTGTCACATTTGGCGGTGCAGGCTAACGACCCGGCAAAGCTAGACGCTCCGTCTGTAAGGGCATGGAACACGACGAGGACCTGCTCCTCAGGGATAATATCTTAGAGGTGCACGTAGGAATTGATGTTGCCTCCCAATTGTCAAAGTCTTCCCCCTGTTTCCCGTTGTAGGCGTCAGGGAACTTTACTTTGACTCGTTCCCTAAGCGGGCATGCCTCCTCCTGCTTTGGGACTGCAAGCTTGGCGCCCTCTATGGCGCCAACACATAATTGTTATGTGTTCTTCATACGTGTCTGCATCTAAGATCCCATCCGCGTCATCATATCGTGGGCGAAGTCTCTAAAGCCTACTCGGATGGACTGTAAGGCTATGTCATGACCCTTTGAGGTATGCATCTGCTCCTGTTGGACACAAATTAATACATCTATGCTTCTAGCGATCGCATCCACCTTGCTCTGCAAGTCCCCTTGTGCTAGCGCATTAGCATGTTGTTCTGCTGCGGCAGCCAATTCCTTCACTAACCAAGTGGTCGCCGCTACGTGCCTCATTCTCTGCCTCCTCCGTCGCAATTTTCACTCCATTCTTTTATCCTCTTCTAGGGCCTGCTGCTCTAGCGGAACTGTCAGGGCCTTTATCTCTGCCACAGCAGTATCCCTCTCGTCCTGGGGGATGTACATCAACACTTTTCCATCTTCCCCCAGAGATAAGTTAGCCACCCATTCCGACACCATCTTCTTCAGTTTCTTCTCATCTTCACTAACCCTATTGGATTCCCCTATGTCCTCTCTCCACACAGTCCTTACCAGGGGTATCTCTTCTTCTTCTTCTTCTTCTTCTTCTTCTTCTTCTTCTTCTTCTTCTTCTTCTGCTTCTCTAAGCTTCTCCTCTTCTTCTCTCTTCAACTTCTCCATTTCTTCTTCAACCTTCTTCTTCTTCGCCGCCTCCGCTTCCAACAAGGTCTGCTTCTTGGCCTCCTTCTTCTCCTTTCTTTCTTTCAATATGGCGGTGGCACTCTCTTCCTGCTCTTTTGTATATGGGGTGGTGCTCGTACCGCTACGCGTGTCCACCATGGTGATAGATGTACAATCGGGTGACACTGACAGTTTCACTCCTCACCACTTAGACTCTCACCCCCTAACTGAGTTAATTTAATGACGGACTGACTAAGGACCACATAATCCGTGGAGGATCCTTTCAACTATGGTCTCTAACCTGACTCTACTTCTAAGTTGTCACTACAGGACTTACTGCTGATCTGGAAGCATTTAAGGCCTCAGGAATTATTTAACGTCGCAAATAGGACGACACGATCAGCAAGTCCTCTCACGACGTAGACAGCTGGTTGTGCAGCCCACAGCTCGGATTTTGGGCCTACCGTGCCACACTGAGCAGCCCATCGGTCTGTACCATTCCTTAGGAGGGTTTGTCCTCCGGGTCAGTCAGTCGTCAGACACGGCCTTTAGCCCTACTCAGCCCGTGTGGGTTTGGTCAACGCAGCTCTATGACCTCATACACAGAGTTCCTATCACCTGGACAGAAGAGACAGACTGACTCGGCAAGTACCATGGGGTATGTGCGCATCCATAGGGCAAGGGGATAGGCTGAAGGTTTGGTGAGAGTATACCAACTCCAGCTTGGTCAAACCTCAGTCAACGCTAGTCAACGTCCCAGTCAACTCCTTGGTCAACACTAGTCAACACTAGTCAACACTTCGGTCAACTCCTCGGTCAATACCAGCATACACCCAGTCAACGCTGGAAAACCACCTGGTCAACGTTGATAATCAGCTGGTCAACGTTGGTGAGTACCTCGGTCAACATTGGCTATGGCTGCCAACCCTCTCTCTTCCACTTCCCTTCGCCTTCCTTCTTCTTCCTCCTCCTTCACACTCGGCTATGGCTTCTTTCTCATCCCTCGTCTCTATCTTCTTCACCCCCGGGTATAGTTTCTCTTTCTCCCTTCTTTGTCTCTCCTTCCTCCTCCACCACGGCTATGATTCCTTCCCTCTTCTTCGTCCCTTCTCTCTCCTCTTTGACGTTGTCTTCTTCCTCTGTGTCTTCTTTCTCCTTGTCCGAGCTTGGCAGCTATGGCCGCCACCTTCTTCCTTGGACCGCACAACAATCTTGTATCGCTCCTCTCTCTCTCTCTCTCTCTCTCTCTCTCTCTCTCTCTCTCTCT